CTCAGTCCCTCTTTGTTCTTCCCCGATTACTTCGCTGATCTTTGTGCTGCCATCAGGGCAGACAAAACAGATGAGTCCCTCAGAGCAATCCAGCTAATTATGGAAAAAAGGAATGTGTGTGTGTGTGCAGGGGGGCCAAGCGTTATTATGAATCCCACTGCTTTTCTTCGTAAGACACGCTCTGTGAATCATTCAGGCTCTAGGATTGGCCGTGTTTACCGAGGTATCGGTAACCTGCGGGTCTGATGCCCTGTCCAATGGGCTATCCTGACCCTAACCACTCGAGATCAATGCCTAACCTCAATCAATCGCCTCTGCCTCAACCCGCTACGCAGGGCGGGTCTTGCCAAGAAATGCAGTGGGATTCATAATGACACTCACCCTTATCCCACCTCTCTTACCTGGATTGGCCACCACGGATGAACAGGAAGAACCACCTCCTGTGATACATGCACAACACTTTAATTAGGTTCGTGGCAGTTTATGGCTGCCAATCATGATCACAGCCTTGGTGCGATTTCCTGCCTGACAATACAACAGTCTGTGTGTGTGTGTGTGTGTGTGTGTGTGTGTGTCTCCCTTTGTTCTTTTGTGTCCTCGAGCCTGTGTGATGGAGCATAAAGTCTCTAATCGGACTGCCTCTTCAAACGAAAGACTTTTCTTTTTATATATCAGGTGAAACTTAAAAGACGCAGCTTTGCCCTTAAAGTACCTGACTCAAACTGATTAGATGAAAGAACAGATCAAGTCTGGCTCATGTGGAGGCAGCTTTGTGCAGTTTTAAGTCATTATTGCACAAATAATTGTACGAGCCCACCCGGCCCAACTGGAGACTGCTATTTATGAGCATGTTAGGAAGGCCGTCACGCTGCTTCTTGTAATGCCGTTACCAGGGATTATCATGCTCGCAAAAATTCCAATTACGACACTTCAGGGTTCAGTTCACCAGCTTACTATTTTATTTTTTGCAAGGTTGACTTGTAGGTAAACAAGCAGCTTAAAATTTAGCTGGGAAACATTGGCACATGCAAGCTGCTGAGGGGCCCAAGCGAGGGTGGACCACCCCTGAAGGGGGCTGTAGCAAGCTGGGCTGCAGCCCAGGCTCAGCCTGGTCCTAAAGCTACAGGCCAAATGGACCTTGCGTTGACAGGTTACTCACTAATTGTCTGTCCTCCAGTTCTATCAAAAGGCAAATAGAACAAGGCCCGCACAGTCAAACATTATTGGATGTCATGAAGCGAGCGATCATTACTGTGGCTTAGATATGGCTTCAGGCTGAGTGTCATGCTAATCTATGAGGATGCACAGGCTGTTTGTCTGACAGCAGCAGCATCCCCAACTCATTTAGGTCTGTGATAATGAGCCTGTTTGTCTCAATGCATTTAGGATTGTTCGGTTCGTGCTTGGTTGATTCGTTTTTTCTTCTCGGTGTGCTGGTGGGTTTTTTGGTTGGTTTGTTTGGTTGTCTGTTAGTCTGTGTGGTGGTGGATTTGGTTTGTTTGGATCCCAGTGTGGTTTTTCCGTGTGTGTGTGTGTGTTGTGGATATTCTGCTGGTTGACGTGGGGTCGTGTTTACAGAGCGGGTCCCAGCAGAGCCCAGATCTCTGACCCTCGCATTCCAGAACCACCACTAATCGCCTCCGTCTGCTGTTCTCTGTAGAGAAAGCCCTGCCGCATCTCTCTTGGCTCCATCTCTCCAGTTTTCTCTCACTCCCACTATTACCGCCCTCACCCCCATTTGTCAATTTTCTCGAGCCTCCTGGCCCATGCACTTTAGCCTAGTTTTCAGATTGACACTGTATTGATCAGCAGAGGTTAAGCAACATGATGAATAATCGCCTTTAATCACTTTCTCCGTAGGTTTTTTTTCTTCTATTTCTTGCTTTTGGTTGTTGTTCTCCTCTCACAGTGAGCTCATTCTGGGCTGTGGTCATAGATGTGTAAATTAGAACCAGAAGAGTTTCTCAGAGTGAGGCACATATCCCCTCGGCTCTCATTCCTCCTCTTCTCCTCCCTCCCTCTTTCTCGTCTTTCCCCCCTTCTTTCTTTCTGTCCCTTTTGACTATTTGAAAGCATTCCTGCGTTGAGTGTCAGGCCCAGCGAGCAGCACATTTTGGCCCGGCCGTGTGAGCCAACCCACTCCTCCGCCTCCTTTTGGGTCCCCTCGCAGGCCTTCCTGGCCTGCCTCTCTTTTGAGCATGTCTTGACCAGGTGCTAAGGTTTGCTCACAGCTGCCTGACAGATGATGTGAGGGCCTCTGGAGTGTTTTCATGTCTTGCTGTGAAAACTGTTTTAGTGTACTTGTAAAGCAGATACGGTCGACTGTGACACAGGAGCTGGTAATTTGTACAGGATTGTGCAGATACTGAGTATTTTTTGCATGTGGTTTCTATCATTGTCGCTTTGTGTTTAATTTACTGTACAGCACTGAGAATTTGTGACACTGCTCAGGTTGAGTGGATTTATTTTATTGAGAAGCTTTGCAAACATCTTCGCCACAGCGGAGTGATCTTCGGTTCACGGCCATTAGTTCTGAGTCTGTCCGTGGACTTCATGCAATAATGGGAAAACAGCACAAGCCATCAGCACTGGCGGGTCTGAGGTCATAAAATATGCTGCTATCTGGCGCAGCACTTCATGGATCTCATTAGACCTCCATATGTGTTGAAAATAATCCCTTAAAAAGTCCATGTTCCCACTGTAACCGCAGCGTGTTTGGCCCTTAATGGAGAATCCGTCCATTACATCGCTGTCGGTGCAGCACAATATTGATTATTGAGAGGACTGTCCGTATTGAGGAATCGGATGAGGACACAGAGAGCGCCTGTTAATGGGTGGTATGGAAAGCAGTATTCGCCACAGAATTGACCTTGTTACATCCAAAGCGGTTCATTATTGGCAGAATGAATCTCAAATGCTGTAAGTGGAACGTTTGAGCACAGCGACAACACCCACAGATATGATCCAAAAACAAACTTCATGAGAAAAGGCAGCATGGGTAAAAATGGCTTTTAAAGCCATGTCAGCCCTTCATTAATAGCTGCATTGTCCACTTGTTGGCACAACAAACACTGAAAAAACCCTGCTTTACTCATCAGCTCACACACATTTCTTTCTCTCCGTATGAGGAGACGTCACCTGTTTCCTTTGTTCTTTGTGCATCAGGCTTTCACAGAGCGTTCTCACCTTCTGCTGCTCCGGTCCTCACGTCTCTTTTTCAGTGGCAACATATTTGAAATGTAATGTGTGTTATATTACACCCAAATGGAACAAAAAAAATCCATACCCACTCAATTTGAACCAGAGATGAACCAGATTACATCTCTGCAGGTCTCCACCAAGGTATGATACACACGGATAAGAGGATTACGATTAGATCAGGAGACCAGCAAACCCTCATTCAGGACATTCATTTTTCTAAATGAACTTCCCCAAAGTATTTATCGAATACTCCAACGATCTTAGCTAATATAAATAGATATGCAGTGTACATTAAGAACATATTTTTGTATATAACGAACACCACTATGGTGGCAACACTGTGTCCACAAAATTCAACATTGTAAGATTCTTACAATCTAGGATTTGACTACAAAATGAATAGCAGGTTTATTTTAATGGGTTGCATGAGATGATGTCCTCAATAAACTCCCTCTTTTATTGAGGCCCCTCTTGAGTTATATGTACGTGAGCTGGCTTGTATCAGTGTTTTGTCTTTCTGCTAGGGCGGCTTGACTTTGACTACGGAGGTCACCAACATACTTTTGACTACAGTATAACATTCTTAATGAGCACACAGCTGATAAGAGTTGCCTCCTCGTGTCTTTTCTGCGCAGATAGCCTCGAACCTATAGATTATTTGCTTGTTAACCTTTTATTAGTTCTGTGAAGCTGACTGTATGGCTGTGATAGCAAGCAAGTTAATTAATAAAACGAAAACAAAGGCTTAGTTACCTTTAGTATGTTAGATGTTCATGCCCTGTTTTTTGTGAGTCAATAATTGTTGATTTACTGCGCTTCAAGATTCGTTTGCGTGCCATTCTTTGTGTTTGCGTGCGTGTTTGTGTGCTGTTCCTTCTGCTTGACTTTGAGTGCGTATCCAGTGCACTACTCAGTCACGTAGTCAGAGAGATTCCCTGGCAGGAGCAGTGTTTTTTGGCCCGGGTGCATTCCAGCCAACCAGCAGGCCTGGGATGACAGGAAGAGGCACAGAGGTTAATGATTAGTCCCATGTTCTCTCTGCATTCCATGGGGTGACGAGGGGACATGGGATAGAAATGGCACGGAGCAACTGAGCAGGCTGTTACAGGGCTATCATAACACGGAATAAAAGCTGCGACGCTATACGTACTCTCCCGTTTCTGGGGATACAAACACGCGTTTTCTCGGTTTCCAGTTTTGCACAACTGTTACTCAGTGGACTTTCCCCATCAGGATGTGAGGTTTGTTTGCTGAAGCGTGTCAGACCTTGACCTTGAACAGAGTTCTTTTAATTAGTGACCAGCCAGGAAACGTAGCCAACACATTTGTGGGACAATTGTTAATCTAATATTAAACGGATTGAACTAAAAGGTCAAAGAAACAAACCGTGATTGTTACAAAGAAAAGAATACCCAACTGTTCCTACAGTGGGTTTATTGTCCTCTTTTGACACACTGAAATTTCCCTCGTATCTTCTTCCTCCTTCCTCATCTTAATTCTCCACTGTCATGCCCATCTCCTGGTCTGTCTGTCTTTCTGTCTCTGTCATCTCTCCTTCTCCCTGCTCCTCTGATGGAAGCAGCTATTTGAGGAATGCTTCAACCCCTGGGAATCTGGAAATCATGTCACCAGATGACTGATGTTCTTTAAAGCTGCTCCCCTGATGCTCCTTTGAGGCCACCTTCATGTTGGCCGACTGCACCAGCTATCTCCGTGATCATTGCTGCACAGACCACATGCTCACAGACGTTCATCAAGCCATCTTTTTTCTTTTTCTTTCTCTCCCAACATCTCATCAGCCTCCATCCCGTTCTTTGCATGCGAGTTGAAGACAGTGACTCCGTACAAGCGAGGCTTCTTCTGTGGAGACCCCAGTATCACCTATCCCGCAGACCCGAGCGAGGCCATCCCTGACGTCCTGCTCATCGCTGCTGGTATAGCCATCACTGGGCTAACGGTAAGACAGTAACAGCCGTTAAGTATTGACGCAGTGAGTTCAAGTTGTCATCAATGTATTGTGTAATGGAGCATGTGTTTGCCATAAGTCTAAAACAAAAATACAATTCCAGCATTGGTACAGCTCTGCTGTTTGATTTATGTTAATCAGATTATCTTGTCTTACTTCCTTCTCAGATTGCTCTGGGCGAATGCTACCGGGTGCGTTATCGAGGTGCTCACTCGCGGGCCTTTGTCCGAAACTGCTACGTGTCGTGTCTCTACAAGGAGCTGGGAAGCTTCCTGTTCGGTTGCTGTGTGGGTCAGTCCCTCACCAATATGGCCAAGCTAAGTGTGGGGCGCCTACGACCCAACTTCCTCTATGTCTGTGACATCACTTATGCGTCCATCAACTGCACTACGGGCAGCTACGTGTCCACGGTCACCTGCCCGCAGCCTAATGTGAACATGGTGGAGGAAGCAAGGTGTGTGTGCGCGCATGTTTATGCTCTGGACTGATTTGATTTGTTGACTAAGGGCGGGGTATACATTAGCTCAAGTCATGCAGTTTATGTGTAACATTCGGCATCTTTTATTGATCTTTCTCTTTCAGGAAGTCTTTCTTTTCCGGCCATGCTTCCTTTGCAATGTACACCATGCTCTACTTGGCAGTAAGTCACATTGGCTTTTAAATACACCCACACACACACACACACACACACACACACACACACACAATACACATCTGGAATATGAGCTTCACGTTCACCTGAGCGTGTGTTGTGTATTTACAGTATTTGGTACTGTGTTTACAATGTTGAGGGAATATTACAACTCTCGGTTTCATTTCACTTACGAGAGACAACACCAATCCCTAGAGGCCAGGAACACTGTGTGCAACTATTAACTAGATAAGCTAATTAAACATGCACAAACACATGTGCTGTTAAATATATTCACACTTCCTGATCGTGAGGGAGGAGATCTTTAAGAGCAGCAATTCTCCAAAGGCATCCTGCTCCAAGCTGAAAGAGCTGGAGAGACAGAGAGGAGGGGGGGGGGGGTTAGAGAATGAGGGAGAATGTTTTTCCACAGGGAACATGAATAGATGAAGAGGCTGCGCAGACAGAGGAGGCCTTGTTGTGGGTCTCATTTAGAGGAGGGGGGTGGAAGGCTGAATATGCCTGCTGAGAGATCGACAGGCTTCTTTCAGTAAGAGACACCCTCTAAACCCCCCCCCCCCCCCCCTCCATCTCTTCATCTTTCACTCACACTGCACTGCCCAGTAGTCATGGGCGCACTGTGGGAGAGAAACGACAGTTAGATGGAGACAAAAGCACATTATTAACCATAAAATGTCCACATTCTTCATGTAGTCCCACTCATTAACCCTGAAATTATCGTTAAAATATGAAATATCAAAGAGGAACAAAACAAAATCACTGCCTCTTCTATTTGCATTTGTGTACTATAGAAGTCCAAATGAAAAGCAGCTCCTCTCCAACCAGAAAGAGACAAACAAGGATGAGTAAGGGGAGACTAAATAAGAGGAATAAAAGGGTACTGAAGTGGTGTGAGAAAAAACGAGGGCCTCGGTGTTCGTTAGCTACGTTCCTCCTGTTCCTCTACACATCTCACTCCGTTGTTTCTCCACACACACGCACACTGCAGGCACAAACACACAGCCTCGCATGCAAGTTTGTTGCTAGCAGACTGTAGACAACCTGGAGAGATTGTGTCAAACCTGTAGCTACATGCCACCCGGACCGTGGCCAGCTACTATAGTGTTTAAGGCAGGAACGGTGACACCTGCTGTCATTTGTGATAGGAGAGAGAGAGAGAGAGAGTGAGGAGGACCCGGTTACAGTCGGCCTCACCGCAGCAATGTAGGCCACATGCTCCCCAGTGGTTGACGGGTCCAGACAGACCTCCAGCCTCCTCATAAAGCGAGCCCTGCATCTGCATCGAGCTCGCCCCCGTGACCCCATTTTTTCAGACACAAACATCCATTCTATAGAGCGGCGCTGAGGCAGGAGATGAGGATGAACAAAAGGAGGAAATGGGGTTGAGATAGTGTTAATGGACTCGCGCCATGCTTCTCTTTCCCCTCTGGGAAGCAAACTGAGTGGATGTCCATGTTTGACTTAAAGGTCTCTGTCTGCGTTTAAAGAACTTTAATTATTAGGCGTAATCTATCGGTTTATGCATTAGCACACAAGCGCACCCACATGCTCGCATTCACTTATTTTCTGCAGTAATTATAAAGTCAGCAACAACATAATGACGGTATTATTTCTCCTACTTTGCAGTTCTACCTGCAGGCGCGGTTGTCGTGGCGAGGAGCTCGGCTGCTGCGCCCACTAATACAGTTTCTCTTAGTGACGATCGCCATCTACACCGGCCTGAGCCGCATCTCCGAAAACCGCCACCACCCCACCGACGTCCTCACAGGCTTCATCCAAGGAGGGCTCACTGCATACTGGGTGGTACGTGGAAAATCGCTGCTGTCTAAATAGTCTTCAATGACAGTTATCTCTGTCTTTGCAGGATTTGTTTCTGTCTGCTCTCTGTTGACTGAGTTAGCTCAAACAATAGGCTGTCTCCCTCATTTTGCTCACTCTGATCCCTGGTGCTGTTTATAAACAGGGAATGGTTGACAGCGCGTGTGGTCGGTGTATATTTCCTGACGTGTTTTGTGTCTGTGCCCGCAGGCCTTCTACATCTCCTCCATGTTTAAGCCCTGCGCCCGTCCAGACCTGTCCCCCACGAGCATGTCCCTGGAGAGTCCACTGTCCAGCCAGCAAACTGTCTGTTAGCAGGCACACTCAATCATTCCAGGAGAGCGAAGATAAGAGAAGACGGACTACAGAGAGTCAGGGAGGGAGTCAGATAGCACAGGTGAGGAGCAGAGAGAAGGTTTCTAAGAACGGGAACCATTCTAAGAGAAGGATACGATTAAAGAGTACAATCTAACACATTGACTTGCTCTTTCGGGGCATACTGACACACACACACACACACACACTAATCTAATGTTCACACACACACTCACACATGTGAAATACAAGAAGCACATTTGACTGACCCGTCCAGTGAAAAGAACTGCATAGTAATATTACAGATATTTTTTTATATATGAGAAAAATAAATAAAAAAAGTCTATTTTTTCGAGAGGATCTTTAGAAGCTGCTAATGTTGATAGTTTTGGTTGCCAGTGATGGAGGCATTTGGGTCAGTGCAGTTAGAAAGCTTTCAAAGCAGAACTTGTAAATCTTGAGTCTTGGGGACGGAGAGAGGAGCAAACGCCAGCCTCCTCTTTGTTTTTGATCTTGTGTCCACCTCGGAAAAAAAACATCGCCCAGCAGCTGCGGACTGAGATCATTAGTCCTCAGATGTAAAGGGAGCTCTGTACCGAGTGATCCGGAACAAGCACTGGCTTCAATTTCTCACCATCTGGACCTTCTGTTGTGCCACTGCCATAATCAGACTGCCCTCCATCGCTACGACAATAACCTGAACGTAAGCAAAGAAAAGAAAAAAAACTGTATTTGAGCTGCAGAACAATGTTATCTTTCTTTTTGTGTAACCAAGGTAGTGATGGTTAGGAGTCCGACCGAGTAACTTTCTCTTCCTTGCCACCGCCATCTTTCTGTTTTAACCACTTTGACTGCGTCTTAGAGGTTGAGGTTTGACTGAATTTTGTAACCTTTGACCTTTCCCCCCCCGAATCTCTGAGCCGCACCTTGATTTATGCCACTCTTGACAGGAGAGCCGACGTGGCGGCCCTCCTGTGCATCTTTATTAATAGCACTTGAACGTACATAATGGAACCTTCTCATTATAATCAATATTATATATTTTATCACACGTTTGAATAATCAGTGTTTATTTTTGTTCATGTAAGACTCATACACTATGTTTGTTTTTGCCACTTTTTAATGATAATTATTCAAATTGAATGTAAATAGCCATGTCATTTTATAAATCATACAGAATTTCAAAGTATTAGTTCCAGTTTTGGACAGTTTTTACATGTTTATTAAGTGTTTGTATTTACGTTTGTGTCAATCAGGTACGGAGAGTTACTATTGTATCTGTTGTAACTACTAGACTGAGCCACAGATATTATCAGAAAGCTATATTTTATGTGTTGCCAGTTATTGGTATTTGTTTGTTTTGTCTGTGAATGCCAGAAAGGCAAAAAAATAACCACTGTACTCAAAAAAACCAAACCAATAAAATGAATGTTGAATGTTTTTAACTTCTTCAGGCCTCTTATTATTGTCCTCTCGGTTGTCTCTGGCTACTCGCATGCAGCAGAGTTGGTCAAGTAAACCATTTAGCCATTTGTAAGTCAGTCAGCATCCAGCTATTATCTTCTCTTTTCAAACAGGATTCCAGACTCTGTGAGGAGGTAAGGACATCTGAGCTGAAACAAAACGTAAACACTGCAATGATAAGTGATTTAACCTCTTTTTTTTTTTTTTGTTCGGAGGCTTCCATTCCTGTGCTCTCCTCGTTTATTTCATTGCAGCTTTCTCTCTCTCTTTCTTTCTTCTTCCGTGCTTTGCTCCTTCCCTGCTCTCAGGACCTTTTTGAGTGCAGTGGAGCATAATGGGCTGTTTCAGGGGGTCATGCTACCATGGAGATACTAAGCCAGATACAGGTTGGGGTGTCTGAGGCGTTTTCTTTCATTTCTTTTTTTTTTTTCTCTCCCCACGATCCACTTCAAGAGAGAATGAAAAAGCAGCCCAGATCAGACAGAGAGGGCAAATGAGAGAGAGAGAGAGAGCGAGAGCTTCGGTCAGGGGTTTGTGCATAATGCTGAGGTAAAGGGGACAGACGAGCAGGTAAACCGGTCCAGTAATGACTGGAAGTAGTAATGGAGCAGTTGGTAGAACAGATGGGGCGGTTGATATGGGAGAGTGAGGGTGATGGGCGTGGGGTGTCAGGGTGGGAAAGAATGTGATCCTGGTTTTTCAGGCCCGTTTTGTTTCATAATACTGTAACTAAGGAGACAAGATTCATTCCTGAGCAACATATATACAGTATATGCCCGTGCTTGTGTGACAGGTTCGTGTCTATCCGTATCTCCCGCTCTCCTTGTTATTGTCTCGTGTTCAGGTGTGCGCGACAAATGTGTCAAACGTGACATCTCGTTTACATTGTGACTGGCGTCCTCCGCTAACCCTTTGGCCCTAATAGAAATGAATGGGGGTCAACAAGCAGAGGCCCATTCTGTACGTCCAGATTACTGAGGTCCAGGCAGAAGGGCCTCACTGCTTACACTGCTGCGACTGTGCACACAGTAGGAACAGTAGCCCCGCGCTTCGGTCATTTAGAACGAGGGGCTATTTGAACTCTTATCTCAACAGGTGAAAGCCATTACTCTCCACAATCTTCACTGTGAAGCAGAGCTGAAGCCTCTTCCTCATACTGAACTTTAAGGACTTCCCTGATAAGATTGTGATATTTTTGTGGAGTTGGACAGGTGCAAAAATAGCAGGGCGGATGTTGGGGAGTGCTGATCCGAATCAACACACGGGTAAGTGTGTGGCGGATAGCACGTAGCTCACCTGCGTGTCTGTGGAAAGGACACCTGGATCACGGGGGTTTTTGTCCCATTGATAACATCACCGAGGCATGTGCAGCTCCGCCAAATTCCATTTGCGAACCTCCCCTCCCCCCCTGTTTGAAGTGATGAAACTGTCCTTTAGATGGAGATGTGAAACACACCTCTTCCTACAGTCCTGACAAAATCCAAAATGTCTTTGTTTTGGATTCAACTGCGAAGAGGAAAAGAAATTTCCTTGCAAATGAATTTTTGTCGAGTGAGAGCTCTTCGCTGTGGGTCTGCAAAGCATTACAGATGTAGTCTCTACTCTGCTGGCCTCTTATCCAGCTGTGGTCCAATTCTTAATAGAATTAAAAAGGATTAATGGACTCTTTGGTATGCTCAAATTCAGGCTTGCTCCAGCAGCCTGAACTGCTATGCAAATTTCTAAATCTCCCACAGTAATTACTCAGTGGATACACTGGCTGCCGCCATTAGGACTGCAAGTGGGCACATTGTGTCCTGATAGGAGTCTGTGAAAGGCATTAGTTTGCATGTTCCTGTTAGATAAATCTTCTTGCTTCCCTCGTCTTCTCTCTCTCTACTCTCCAGGGATTAGGATGCTTCAATAAGCCACGCTGGCTCATTGAACAACACCAACCCCCAAAACTGACACACAAAGAGCTGACAGGAACTACAGGTGGACAGCAGGACAACAATCACTGCCGAATGTGGAGAGCTTGTTGTTTGTTTGTGCAGGTGTGTGATGTTTGTGCATTTCCTCACATACACATCAGTCCAGCACATATGGTATGTACAGATAAGATAGTACATATACTATCTGATGAGGACAGTTTCATTGTCCTATCTGATGAGGATAGCATCACTTGGCAAATACAAGCAGTCATGTACTCCACCACACATACCGTTCTGGTCAGCTGAGGCTGCGTATTATTTTTTGGAGTATAAATATTTTTAGATGTATGAATTACAAATACGTTGAACGAAAGGAGCAGGAATGAGAGAGAGTCACATTTGAGGGATGAAGTGACTCTGTGGAAGAGTTATTCTCCGCTACAAGATTAATAGTAGCATCAATTTAGAGAGCACAAACTTTTCGAAGAATCTAATTTCCTGTCAGCATTTTAAAAAGAACAGTAATACTTTGCTCAGGGCTGAACATTTCACTGGGAGACTTATTATATTCTGTTGAAAAGCAACCATGCCTCTCCCTGAAGGTCTTTCCTCACTAGCCTCGCATGGCTTATCATGACAAACAGCAAATTGGGCAGAAAATATCCCACTATTTACCATCTTAGAGGTCATATTCTTGTCTTTGCAAGGGCGAGGTGTTACGGAAATACAATACAATGGGTAAAGGTTACCTGATAAGACCTGGCGCCACAATGTGAGGTGTGTTTATTTAAGTGTCGCATGTTTTAGGGTAGGGTGACCTTAGCTACCTGCAGCTTCTCTTTGTGTGAGCACGAAGTGTTCCTCAGCTCTCTGTCACTTGTAAAACAAACCAGAAGTAAATGCATTTTCAGACACAAGCTAAAAACTGACAGGCAAAGATTTGGTCCAGAATCACAACAAGTTAGACTTTGACATAACATTCTTCAATAAAACAAGCTTATCTGCCAGAACCTAGACAAGACACGTTGTCGATAGAGATACCAAACCACTTTGTTTATATTGTGAAGGCTGCAAGATGAGAGATGTCTAGTGTGTGTGTGTGTGTGTGTGTGTGTGTGTGTGTGTGTGTGTGTGGGTGTGTTCATGTTTATTCCATAACCTCCAGTCTGCTGAAGGCAGACTGGAATGCAAAAACAAGATCATGGGAATAAAAACAATAGTTAGGATCTGTGAGGTGTCAGTGCTGACTGCAGCGGAGAGGTGGGAGGACGATCCATGGGTTCCAAGGTCAACAAGCTAAGCCTCCCGCAACACACACATTCACATTTTAGTGGTAATGTAATAGTGACATGACACTCAGCCCATGTTAACAGCTCATTCATCACTGAAGCAACCCACAGTACTCAAGAGAAGAAAAACGTATACAAATGAGCTCGGCACTCTTGAAATGATCTCACAAGTGAAATGTCTCGAGAAAAGTTCATTCGTGTGTTTAGCTTCTCTGCGTATGTTTAATCTGTTTTTGCCGACATGTTTACACGTTAAAATGCGTGTGAGCATACACACACCTGTATACACATCTGTGTATATGTACTGTTCAAGAGGTCATAAGCTTCCCTAACACGTCCCTTTATAATGTCCACTAGACTCTCACTCGCCACACTATCATACTCTCCTACATATAACGTGTTACCCTCTATATTGTAATAAATGTGACAACACTGGTCTCATTGTGCGTGTGAGTGGGATTTGTCAAAGAGAAAAAGAAAGAATGATAGTGATTGTTTGAGAGAGAATAGTGATGTGTGAATTTAAATAACGGTGTGTGGACGGTATGGTAATGTATGAGTTTACGTGAGAAAGAATTTGGTTGTATGTGAAATACATAATGATTGTGTACTGAAACTAAAAACGCATCTGTGGGGTTTTGTTGCTAGAGTCTCAATTGTTCTGGCATAGCTTATAGGAGCTTATTAGCAAACTAATAGATATTGTTGTATAACTGATATTCCTGAGTTTGTTTAATGACTTCATAACTATTTTCTTCTTGTGGTAGACATACTGATAAACTACACTGTATCATGTCACAACATGTCAGCGGTTTAATCACAAACGTTCCCGATAAGCCCCGCCCTCTTAGTAACTGTAGGTCAAACAAACTCGACAAAAAGAAACATGGCGACGCCAGTTCCGTTTCGGAGCCAGGAAAGGATTGTAGCACGCGATGAAAGGATGTGTTGACGATGATTAACTTCACTCGGGTAACTTTTTGAATGCTAGATGTCGTGTACATCAAAATAAGTAACGATATGCCAAAACAAAGTTACTACAAAGCAGAGATAATATAACAAAAGTAATGAAATCCGAAGAAATCACGCAGGTTCACCGGAAACTAATTAGTGGAGAGCTGTGCGCCCGGCAGCAGCGGCTCCTCCTCTGGCCTGGAGCACATAGTACATATAAGGTTATATCTTTGCACAGACTGTATAACAGTGTAACAGTAAACGCAGAAAGGGTTCTGCCTGGTTTTAAGCTTGCTCAACTGTTATTGGAGTACAGAGCGAAAAGAGGCGGGGCTTAGCAAGAGTCAAGGCCACTGTTGAGCAACAATTGCATTTTCTTGCCTAAAATTCACCAAAGTCGGAAAATATGCCATTCATTTCCTGTTTATTATGTTTTTCCTTTTCTGAAGAATAGAGATGTTGGCCAATGTGAGTATAACATACTATACATGCGAGTATAACATATACATGTGTCTGTGTGTGGGACAGTGAAGTGCATGGTGTGTGAGCGTGTCTGTGATAGTGAGGATGGTGCTGTCAGGGCAGCGCTGGTCCTAATTACAGTCCTCCCCAGGAAGCTGTTTGAATAACATGGCAAATTAGAAAACTCTTACAACACTGCAGTGCACCAGAGAGCCAATGAAACAGGCTTGTTAGACCGTTAAATTCAGTGCAGACCTCTCTCTCTTTCTGCTAATGTGTGCATGTGTGTGTTCATCTTCACTTGGCTGCTTGTTAGTGTGATGATAGCTTAGAATCAATAGTTTAATGAACATGTGCACAAAACAGACACCTGACAATATTCCTGCAATTCCTAGAATGAGGTGAACTAGTGAGTCATTTGTGTGTAATGCTGATCCACTAACATCACTTGCCAATGGGAGCTTGTAAAAGACAGTAAGTAAAGTAGTAAGTAGCAGATACGTATTATCTTTAACCACAGTCATTATTACATGTTATTAAATCTGTTGCACATGCTCAACTTTTCTACTTGTATTACTTGTATTATTGGCCAACAGGTGGACTACGGCAGCTTTTACGATGTATTGTTTGCAGGCATTTGGTGTAACTGTCAAACAATGTCAGTCTGACAGTCACGGCGGCTGGCTACCATTGTTATTAGTTCCAACCTTGGGGGGGGGGGGGGGGGGGGGGGGGGGG